GCAAGGGCCTTAGGTGGAGGTCTAGCGAAGGTGAAGGCCTATGGTAGTGGTCTGACAAAGGTGAGGGCCTCAGATGGAGATCTGGCGAAGGTGAGGGCCTCCGGCGGTGGTCCGGCGAAGGTGAGGGCCTCAGGTGGTGGTCTGCCGAAGGTGAGGGCCTCTGGCGGTGGTCCGGCGAAGGCAAGGGCCTCAGGTGGTTGTCCGGTAATGGTGAGGACCTCAGGTGGTGGTCCGGTGAAGGCGAGGGCCTCAGGTGGTGGTCCGGTAAAGCTCCGGCGGTGGTCCGGCGAGACTCTGACGGTGGTCCGGCGAAACTCCGGCGGTGATCGAGGAGGAGCTTATTCCTTCTCCTCCTTCTCTCTTCCTTCTCTTCTCTTCTTCTCTTCTTGCTCGGGGTCCCTTTTCAAGAGAAATGAGGGGTCTATTTATAGATTTTTGGAGTGGCATGACCCATAAATAGGTGAGAGATCAAGGGTAAATGGGGAGTGATTGGATGGACGGCCGATATTGAATCCCATGATCATGGGCCGTTCGTCAGGCATTTAGAGGCCTTAATTTCAAAATTCAATGATCTTGGACTCGTTGGATTTGTCTCGTCGAGCCGCTCTAATTTGACTATAAGCTCGTCATATTTGGAAACCGTTTAATAACTCAAACAGTGGTACGAAGCTTCCAACAGTGCTTAGGGTCCTTGATTTAAGCTCATTTGGGCTCAGATTGAGTCAAATTTGGTGTCGTTGGGTTCGTATTTCTGAGACGCTCAGTGTGACTGTAAGTTTGCTGAAATCGGAGTTCAAGTGATCCCGAATTTTAATTTTTAAGTTTCGACCTAATTTTGCCTCGAGATTCATGCCCGATCAAGATAATTTTTTGATGATATATCAAGTCCTATTTTAATTGGACATCTAATCTCATTTTCACGTTAATTTTCTTTAAAATATTTCTAATTGGACAAATTTTAAAAAGAAGCACAAAATAAAACTACATAAGTTGAAAAATTCGAATTAGGAGAAAAAATTAAAAAAAGTAGAAACGCTAAATTATTTTACATTTTTCAAAAAATACAAAAATACATTCGCCTTTAAAAAAACATTAAAAATTTTAGTATTTTTGCTTCTTGTTAATTTTTTTTCTAATTACATTTTTTACTTATATAATTTTATATGATGCTTTTTTTTAAATTTATTTTTTTTAATTCATATAAAAAAAAGCTTTAAATTTTATTATATTGCAAGTAAATCTCTTGCTCTTGTAAAATTTTACTGGCATATGAACTTATAGACTATATATGGAATATCTCATATACTTATATAAGAATATGATAATTCTATTTCACACATCAAAATTGTATTAAATAAATCCTTTTTCATCATTTTTTTAATAGCTTTTTAGCACAAAATAACATTCATATCTCACAAAACAGATCTAAAAGAAAATAGAAACATATCAACATATGATTGCTACTAAAAAAAACTATAAAGAGAGGCAAAAGAATAGTAAAGGAGAGGTAGGCTTAGGCTTTGTTTGGGACAGTTTTCTACTACTTTCTAAATGAGCTTTCTAATACAAAAATTTCTAGTTTTAAAAATCTGTGTACGAAAAAGCTGTTTTAGAAAACAGTAAAAAGTTGTCCCGAACAAGAGAAATTATTATGTACCGAGATCGAACACAGAACGTCGTTCGAAGACCAACCAAAATACACCACATCAGCGATACTGAGCACAGGCGTGACGTGACACATTATGGTTGGTCTCCGGATGGCTTTCACCGTCTGCACAGAATAATTAATACCCGAACAAAATATTAGACTTCATTTGCGATATCTTTCTTATTGCTTCTTGAAGTAGTTTTATAGTATAACATTACCAATCCTAATCACCAATGTTATTTTAATAACATTGTTGTATTCCCCACATTTCATACCCTTCACCATCATTACAGAGCATGCAATGTGGAAGGAAATTTAGCTGTGATGATGCAACATGGCTTGTGATTGTGATGCAATTTTGTAGCCTTGCTCTTGCTAGCTTTAATAATGGAGTAATGCTTAGGTGGCTACAATATATTTTAAAGGGAGGCTTTTGGATTATGATTTTTTTTTTTTTGTATATTATATGTCACTTATTTGAAGATTATTTTAATATTTTTATTGAAGTTGTACGAAGATTATGTGAATGTAAATAAGTTGAAAGAATCATTAATGAGATAAAATTATTTTTACTTGAAAATTCTGAGAAGGGAAAATATCACACGTCTTGCCCCGAAAAATTATTCTATTAGTGTTAGTCAAGTATTACAAGTTATTTCTCTTCTTCTTCTTTTTTTTTTTTCCATAGAAGTGAAGAAGGCAATAGTACAATGTAATAGATATGAACAGTGGGAAATATCCGGTATGATAATGAACGAGTTTTGAGGTGCCTGAGTTGTCATCTTGTGATGAGTGTTAGACGAAAATTAATGATGGATATCGTTGGTTAGGCAATTAAGGCGAATCAGTTTAATCATTCATTGAATATGATGGAAGATTTTGATCGAAAAGACAAGTAATGGAAACAACTCAGGGGTTCTCCATTGATGGGAGCTGAACAATGACCAATGCGAATCATAAAGAATCAGTGATGATTGAATCAACTTGGTTATATGATTGACAAGAAATGTCAACAGTTTGGTTACAATGAATAGCTGAATAGACTTTTCTTATAATAAGAGGGGATGCTTTGACCAAAAAATGAGCATCATATAATGTAGTTAGTGAATATCTAATAATTGATGTCCTTATTTTATTACTTCTTCAGCGGCTTTTGTACGTTTTAATTTTAGGAGTAATTTGTGCTAGCGGAATTTAATGAGGCTCATAACAAAATCTTTTATAATTTTAATTAACTTTTAGTCTGCCCAATACTTCTACGAGAAAAATCTCGCCCAAAATAAAGTATTTCATCCATTTGATGAACTATTTTAGTTCTAAATAAAATTTCTAATTTCTTCAAAATATCTTCAATTTGGAAGAAATATCTTATTTTGGTGAATTTAATCTTTAAGATTGAGAAATATTATTTCCTTAAAAAAATATAAAATTGATAACTATATTAGCTAGCAACTAATATCACACAAATTTACATATAATTTAATTCAAAAAAAATATAAGTGTAATGAATGCATGTAAAAAAAAAAGAGACATTTGAAAATAAATTAGGCTATTTAGATGTGAATTACAAATAGTACAAAATACTTCATTGGATGAATCTAATAAAATAATTTAAAGTTATATTTTAAAAAATAATTAGCTTTACAACTCATCCAAAATAATTTAAAAATAAAAAAAAAATGATTAAAATGATACCAACTAATTAATATAAATTTATTAAAAAATAATTATGGCAAGAACTTTTTTTTTTTACTCCTATGCCATGGAAAATTTTGCCACCTGTCCTAACATTTTGACACGTCAAATAATGCATAATGTGAGTTGGAGATTTATTTCTTATAATAAAATAATCACAAAGTGCCTTTTTATTTTATATATTTTTATTGGTTAAGATTCCTTTGGCCAATATAATATATTTTTTGAGCAATTTCTTTGTCTAAGTATAGTGACAGCACGTGCTCCAAATACTACATTATTTGCTTGATCCAATGGGGATAATACCATTAGAATGAGTTGATATGGACACATTTTCATCATGGTTATTTGGATATTGGTTATTGAAATGGATAAAAAAGTTAATAATGACAATGGCATAGAAGAATGGCTATAGTTAGGGTTATAAGTGAGTCAAGCTAACTCGAGCTCGGCTAAATAACTGGCTCATGAGCTGAGCATGATGAGCTCGATGATGAGTCAAGCTTGGGTTAGCCTCGGGTCAGCTCGTTGAGCTCTTGAGCTGGCTCGATTAAAAATATCATTATTAAAAAATAGTTAAAAATAGATTAGAATTTAGGAGTTCAACTGTTCAAGTATAAATCTACTATAAATATTTAAAAATAATATCTTTTTTATATTAAGTGATTCTTTATTATTTATATTTTAATTTCTCATTCTTTTTATATTTTCATTATGATAATTGTTTGAATCATAATTATTTTATCTTTTTTGTTAAAACAAGCCATCTTTAATTTGTAAAATTAAGCTCGAGCTTGAGCCCAAAGTCCAAATTAATCAAGCTCAAGATAAGGATGACTCGAGCTCGTCTTTACTCATTTGGGGCACTCTAATTGAACTTCATTCGTTCATTCATAGCTCTGGTGAGCATCCACCTAAACGACCAATGAAAACATATTTTGCATTTTATTTTGGTTGTAATTAAACAATGAGACAACAATATTGACGCGACACTATTCAGAACATCATTCACGCATTTTGATTGAAAATAGATATAAAAATAGTGATGAAAAAGAATATACATAGAATAATATTTTTGATGTTAGAAATGGAATATTACTGTATTTTAAAATGAAAAATAAGTTTTTTGATTTTAGATTCCCTTACACCCCTAACTTTAACATTGCAATTTGAATATAAGAGAAAAATAATTATATTTAATCATAATGATTGATATGCATGTTCATATAGGACATGCTCTAATTAGTTTAGTAATTAATAAACACACTCTTATATTGCATGATCTATCAAGATGTATCCTTTTGACATATCACAATGGCATGCACCATTGAACCCTACAATTGTGGGAAGAGAAAAGTATATATATATATATAAAAAAATCAGAGACATTCTTAGGTTCCTATTGAGGGGCGAATTATTACGTCCGGTCACCGGATGTCCGGACGCCCAATTCAGACGCGCCACGTCACCCTAATACACTGGGCTCCGGTGTATTTTGGCGACGTGGCGCATCTGGATTGGTGTCCGGATTCGTCCGGACACCGAACATAATAATTTATCCTATTGAGGTGTTTACCAAGTTGGCTAGACATGAGAAGAGTATAAATTATTGCTTCTGCATACACTCAAGTCCATTAGATACAACACATGAGAAAGAAGCAAGGATAATTCTAAGTTAGGTAAAGAGGGCCCAATGGTGCAACCACCAATGATGAAATCAAAACAAAGGCTTGTTGTGGCCGATTCCTTTGCTTAAATTACAAGGAGATGCTATGATGCAAGAAAAAAGAAGCTTTCATCACATTACATATTGGTGCCTTAGGTAGTGCCCTAAATCTCTTTCCCTTCTTCCACATGGGAAGGGAAGGGAGGGAAGAAAGATCAGATTTTGTGGAGCGAAGATTTGGGAAGAAAATGATACCCAAATTGAGCACAGTGGATAAAAGGCAAGAGGGGGAGTGACCAAATGTGGAGCGAGCTAAAAGAGTGTGGCCAGAGAGGAGGATTATTTCCTTTTGGCTGTAAGCCATAGCTTGTGTATATATAGCTCTCATCCTTGGAAAGTAATCCTCTTCTATATCTTTCTCTGTTTCTTTCTGCCGGTTTCTGTTCCTTGCTCCGTAGAAGAAGCAACAAACTGTTGCATTTCTCTCTCTCTCTACCCCCCTCTCTCCTCTCTTGTTTCTTGGAGACTGTTCATATAGAGTATTGAGGAGTGCGAGGGGTATGAGTCGATTCAAATCTCTACTCGGCCATTCTTGGAGAAAATAAAAAAAACGAAAGAGTGAGGATGAAAACAAAAATTGAAGATTTTGCGAGCCCTATTTGTTTTTCGTTGTTCTTCATGCGGAAAAGCTCTCAACTTTATTCCCAGAGAGGCTTTTCAGATCCGAGAGAGTGATAAAGCTCTCAACTTTGAGCAGCGTTTGTGTTGTTTACATCCTCTGAAGGGGCAGTATGTGAAGATAAACGCATTTCAAATCTATTATTTTTGCTTTCTTGTGGGATTTGATGTTCTTTCGTTTTTTTAATTAATTTTTTTTTTTATAGTTTTGTGTTGTTTTTAACACCTGGTTATGTGTTTTTCTGTACGAGTTTTGCTTCTAACCGGCCTTGTAGGGGCCTACATTTACATGCTTAAATATGGCTGATTATCATTGTTCTTTTCTTCTTTAATGCTTCAGATAACATGGCATATCTTTGATGTTTTGCTCTGCTGAATGGGTTGGTTTTGTCTTATGTGGAATAAGGTTTAATGAAACAGCCAGGAACAATCCATTGTTTTGTTCCTTATTTGGTTATCTAAATGGATAATCTTGTTCTTTTTCTATATCTGTTTCTTTTGGTTGTTAATTAGATAACTTGTTTCTTATGAGGAATTTGATTTTGTAGCCTTTGTCATTATCTGTTTATGCTAGCCTTTTTAAGCTCTATCTGATTCCTCTTGTTCAATGCTGACATTTTATGCGATCTCCATTTTGTTTGATCCAGTTTTGTATTGATTCCTGCAACTCTTTCGATCTCTATCTTCTCTTCTTTCTCAGATTCTACTGGTATTTATGCCAATGGAAGGAGAAACATCACAAGAATGGCAGAGGACAAGTGAGCTCATAATCAGGGACTCAGAAATTGATCCATTCTCACGAGAAAACGATCACAAAACCGAAATCACTTCGGCTTCCTTTGATACTATCCTCCCGGATGAAATCTTAGAGAAGATTTTCTCCTTTCTGCCAGTTTTAAGCATAATTAGAGCAGGATCTGTGTGCAAAAGATGGCATGGAGCAGTTCACTCAGGAAAACATTCCTGGAACAATATGCCGCCGCAGAAGCCATGGTACTTCATGTTCACTTACAGCAAGAACATTGTAGGCTATGCCTATGATTCGAGCTTTCGAAAATGGTATAATTTTGATTTCCCTTGCCTTGACAAATGCAACTGGTTTGTCTCTTCATCTTGTGGATTGGTTTGCTTCATGGATTATGAAAATCGAAACCGAATCTTAGTTTGTAATCCAATTACAAGAACCTGGAAGCAACTTCAGCAACCCCCTAATGGAAAATCTCCAGATTACAGTGCTTTAGCTTTGTCTGTGGATAGATTTTCTCTTAGTTACACAGTTGCAGTTGTGAAATCAAGGCAGTTACCTGATGATTTTCTTCAATGGGACTTCACCATACAGATTTATGAATCAGAACATTGTTTGTGGGTTGCATCTATCAATGAGGTATTGGAGGGATGGAGGGGAGGTGATGAGAGTGTGATATGCAATGGAGTTCTATATTGTTTAGTTTACTCATTCTCGGGGAACAACGAGCGTCGCCATGGCCTTGTCATGTACAAACTTTGCTCGAATTCTCCTCGTGCTTCGGTCATGGGATCCATGATTTTGGTGCCATGTCCCCTCACTTGCGGTCGCCTTATGAATCTTAGAGATAAATTGGTTATGGTTGGGGGGATTGGAAGGCATGATAGGCCAGACATTATAAAAGGAATTGGGATATGGGAGCTTGAGAAGGAAGAGTGGCAAGAAGTTGCTAGGATGCCACACAAGTTCTTTCAGGGATTTGGTGAGCTTGATGATGTTTTTGCGAGTAGCGGCGCCGAGGATCTAATCTTCATTCAATGCTACGGCGCGCCGGCATTGCTTATTTTTGATATGAGCCATAAGCAATGGAAGTGGTCGCTGCGATGTCCAGTTACAAAGAGGTTTGCACTCCAGCTCTTCTCTGGTTTCTGCTTTGAACCAAGACTGGAGACCACATCCTGAATCCACATGTATGCGTTTTGTAGCAAGAAGACACTTGCAATTGTTTTCTTCTTTGATTGTAGCATTCAAGAGATTAATAGTTCTTTTCAGTTTTCATACCATATATTTTTTCAAAATGCTTCTTTTACAAGGATTCTTGGTTCTCTTCTTGCATGTAATTGTGAAATAATTTGCTCTTGTTTGTCCATATCTTCGGTTGCTCGAGCGAGCTTTGGGTTTAAGTTTGTGATTCAACACTCAGGCTTCCTTTTGGACTATTTTTTTATTGCTTCTTAAAACAGAGTTTGGAACATTTTTTTACTGATTTTTTTTTAAAATTCCTTGAAAACAGTGATCAAAAGCTGTCCAAAGCGAAGCCTCGTTTGGAACAGAGCTATTAACCACCGTGTTTTCGCTGATTTCTAAAAATTTTTTTACGAGAAAACTGTTGTTGAAAGTAGTAAGAAAGCTGTCCCAAACATATTATTGAAATCAAAGGTAGGGAGATTGAAAGGATTGGTGAATAAAAGCAAAGATTATATCTTCAAAATCATGAATGAATTCTTGATCATTTAAGAAAAATAAAGGATAAGAGATTAAGAGGTTTGATCATGGTGGAAAGTGACAAGGTGAGGCAGTGGGACTGAGAAAGTGTGGGGGCCTTTGAGAGCAGAGGCCTCCACTTATTCTGGCTACTGGGAGGGGAGGGGGCAGAGGGCAGAAGAGAGTGACGTTTTTTGCTCTGAAGTCTGTATGGCGACGCTGGTGAAGCAGAAGAAAGGCTTTGGAGCTTTGCTGTTTAAATGTAAGCAGGCATTACTGGGCATTACTGTTTTTTTTTTTTTTTTTTATGAGGAAGCATTGTCCTTAGACTAGTGAAAATCCCGGTCGACTGAGCATGCAACCCATACCAATTTACACGGGCCAACACTTAAGACTTTCAGTGCTTGCCAAGGGATTCGAACCAGGGGCTTGGGCTTTGCCCAGCCGGCTCTTCACCGCCCGGACAAGCAGCGGTGGGTGCAAGCATTACTCTAAATCGCTCTTCTTCTGTGGTCCTTGCAAGCAGGGATGGTTATTCTTTTTGGGTGTGGGCTTTGGTGCCTTTATTTTATTTTTTATTTTTTAGAATTGAAAAAAGATATTATGATTTTTGTTGATTGCTTAATTTGGAGCTAAAAAATCATCTCTAGAAGTTGGAGATAAAATTTAGTAGTCTTAGGCTTTCTTTGAAATAGTTTTTTTTTTAATGCTAAAAAGTTGCTTTGAAAAACACTAAAAAAGTATCTAAAACTCATACATTTAGATTATTTTACACCCTCAATACAACAAACCAAACAAACATCGAACAAAACTGGAAAGTTAAAAAATTGATTATACTATTTAAGTTTGCATCATATTGTACGACTAATTACTAAGGGCATCTCCAGCCGAAACTCTCATCTTTCACTGCAAAATGCAGTAAAATCAAAAGTGCCGTGATTCATCTCCAGTGGAACGCCATTTTGCCCCCAAATCATCGCTCGTTTCTTTCGCGCCTTTCTCAGACGAGTTCGGTAGAGAGAAAGAAATGGCGCAAGTGAACAGTGCGACACCAATATTGACGTTGCACTGTTCAACTGCGATCAAATGGCGTTCGGTTGCGACGTTTGAGGGCCTCCATTCGACTGTTTGCCGAACGGTTGGAGATGGTCTAACAAAATCTTTTTAACTCTTCAAACGATACAATCACTAATCATACTATATGATTGTTAATTGTGATGTACAGTCAAGCTTCGTTCCAAAATAATTATTTAAACAAATTTATTAAGATTACAACATAATGTAATTAATGAAAATTAATTTTTAAATCATTCTATTTGGTCTAGCTTAATATAGTAATATATGTGGATTAATTTTCACAATGAGATTATTTAAGTTTTGAATTAATTGTGCTGAATTATAGCATTGTACTATATGGTATTCTTTATTACTTCAATTAAATTCATATAATCAGTTCTATTAGTTAATTTATTCAAAATTTAAATGAATCATATTGTATGATATTTTATGTTTCATCATACTGTTCAATCTATTTTCTATTTTAAAACTAAATAATCATAAGATTATCTGAATGACTAGCATAGTCAAAATGGAGCTTATTTTAGGATTAGGATTATATTGCTCACCAATTACGAACTACGGTTCTTTTGGCCTATGTTGTATGACTAAGCTCCCTCTGACCTTAGTAGTATGACTATGATTTCTTCGACCTAGATCGTCTAACTAAAGTCTCTTCGTCCTTAGTAGGCCGACTATGGTCCCTCAAACCTCCATCGCTTTACCGACCTCCGTCGCCCGACTACGATCCATCTGACCTCCGTCGCCCGACTATAGTCCTACCAACCAAACTTACAGACTAATGTTCTTTTGAGAACAACTTTCATGTCACTGAATTCTCCTAACTCCAACTATGTGATGCTTTCTATATGATGTATATTGACTATATTGAGCCAAAGCTTTTCTCTAAGGAAGGACATCATTTGTAATCAATAACAAACACTAATATATTTATTTCAACTAGGCAATATCCAGTGGGTTTTCCTCTATTCAAAAGTTTTCACGTAAAAATTCCGATGCCTCTTATGTATATAATGCTTCTATCTCTTTTATATGTCTGTGTGTTTGATCTTTGTACAAATCTAAGTTGCTAAATCCTAAATTTCTCTATCACCAAGAATGTTCTGACACACAATAATTTTTAAAACTATAACCGAAAAAGAGCTTTAAAAATAAAATTAGAAAAAGTTTAAATTGTCTAAACAAAATCTTATGATTTATTTAAAATGGCTACAACTTTTTATAAAGATAATTGTAAAACTGTTGTGAAAAAAAAAAAAAATTTTTTTTGAAACATGTTGTAATAAATCAACTTTCGAGGACATGAATTTATAAAAAGCAGGAAGGAAATAATAATTAAATAAAATTATAATTTCGATCTAACATATAAAAAACTAAAAAATTTATCTCAAACAGACCCTCATTTCCCGAACAATTATTACGTCCTCCGACCGAATGAGAGAAACATTCGGTTGGCAGGGAAAAATCCCACGGTACCGAGGTGTACCGAGTTTTTCAAAAAACTCGGTACACCTCGGTACCGCCGGATTTTATGCATTTGGCAGCCCATTTTAAAATTTCAGTTTTTCCGCATTCCAAAAGCTCGCCGGATTTGAATTCGAGGTACTCAAATGCCTAATTCTTCCCCCTTTCTTCTCCGCCTCCACTACTTGAATCTAGGGTTTTCCTTTACACTGTGGATACCGATAGGGCTTATCGGTTAAAAAAAACCATCGACGATCTTTTCTGGTCGGAAGACAGAATGGATTGAGCGAGGCATTACTTCTTCTAGGAAATTAGCGAAGGTTCGTGCGGAATTTAGCTCTGTTGAATTCTTCTTTCCATTCTGTGTTGCTCGCCATTATCAGAACTGATTCGGTAACACTGAATTGTTCCTATTTTATTTATTGTTTGACTTTGTTGATTGATGGAACATATCTGTTTGGTTCTTGTCTGTGTCAATCGATCTGTCTTAGCCATTTACTTATCTTATACTATAATGTGCCGATGATTCCTATGGATTTAGTGGACAGATATTGCCCTATGAATCATGAATTCACTTTAAAAGTTGCAGAGCATGACTGCATGTGAATATAAAATAGGAATAAATTAAAGGAGATGTTTGTCAAACCCACTGATGATTTAGGTACCTAACAGCACTCAAATTGATTAATAATGCATAAGCAATGTTCATTTTGTGTATCACATTGCTTGTCGCTGGTCGCCCGCCGCTGACACCACACAGCCTGCCGCCGCCGCCGCCGCATTGTGATAGTCACTTGTCGCCATCAACTCCTTTTATTACTATCGGTCTTTTGTTATCATCATTGTTGAACTTTGTATTGTATTTATTTTACTTCAAATCAAATAAAAAGAATAATTTTTGTGAATTTACTCTACACGCAATCACATCATTTTGAAAGCCGACCACTTGCATCATGGTAGACTTTATTTTTTTATTCTAGAGAGAATAGTTTCCTATTGTAAGGAGGTTGGTTGAGTAGTCATGTGTGTGAATAGTACTTAAAAAAAGAAGGCTCAGTATAAGCCACAACTCTTCTTAATCTGCTGGTTGAAAGTTTTAGCTATCAATTAAGGAGCCGTTATTACGTCCTCCGACCGGATGCAGAGGAACATCCGGTCCTAGGCAAAAAAACGCCTGTATCGAGTTTTTTTGAAAAAACTCGGTACACCTCGGTACAGACATTTTTTTGCCTAGGACTGGATGTTTCTTGCATCCGGTCAACCGAACCAAATAAGAGCGCATCAATTAAGGTTTCATTTGTAACAGCTTTCTTATTATTTTTTTGAACTAAAATTTTAGTACAAAAATCTTAATGTTTAAAAAATTTTGTATTAAAAAATTAATTTATAAAATAGTAAGAAAGTCGTCCGAAATGAAAACTAAGGTTTTGTTTGTGATGACTTTTTTACTGATTTTTAAAGTAGGTTTTTAATATAAAAAAATTTTTAAACTAAAAGAATTTGTATTAGAAACCTGCTTAAAAAAGAAGTAAAAAAATCGTCCCAAACATTTTGTAAAACTTCGTTTGTCATGACTTTCTTACTGCTTTTTAAAACAATTTTAAGAATCAGTAAGAAAGCCGTCCTAAGCGAAGCATAAGGGCGAATTATTACGTCCGGTCACCGGACGTCCAAACACCAAATTCAGACGCGCCACTTTACCCGAATACACTGGATCCCGATATATTTTGGTGATGTGACACGTCTGGATTGGTGTCCGGACGAATCCGGACACCGGACGTAATAATTTGCCCAGCATAAACCTGTCGTAGGGCTGTAGGAGGGTACTTAAGTGCTGTAGGGTGTGCGTTATCACTTGTAATAGCAGCAGCTCAGTCAGTACATTTGAACCAATTTTTTCTTCATAGATTCGCTGTCCTTCCACCAGAAATTGTGAACTAAATTATGCCATGAATTATTTACATGAATAGAGTTAAATCTTCACATGTTGATGGTTGGGTCCAGTTAATGAAGTGAGCAGTTCTATGGCAGACATTTGTGAAGCTCCTTAAGTGCTGTTTGGTAGCAGGATTTAACCTAAATTTTTTGTCAAAATGGCAACTTTCAATCCAACATAATCTTAAATCCTGTTTACTTTTTGTTTTGTCTTGAATCCATCATTTACTACATTTGGGAGATCAGGGGATTTATATGACTTAGGTTCCGTTTGAGATGACTTTCTTACTGCTTCTTAAAACAGCTTTTTGATATTAAGAAACTGCTTTAAGAAGCAATAATATAACTATCTCAAACGAAGTCTTAGGCTTCGTTTGGGACGGCTTTTTTTTTTGCTTCCTAAAGCAACTCCCTGATAAAAAAATTAAAATTTTTATACTAAGAAGCAATAAAAAAGCCGTCCCAAATGAAGCCTTATACTTCATTTGGGACTACTTTTTTACTACTTCTTTAAGCAATTTTTTAGTATAAAAAATTTAATTTTTGTATTAAAAAATTGTTGTAAGAACAGTAAGAAAATTATTCCAAACAGAACCTCAGCGTGAAAATAGATGAGGGCTACCTTCATTTGGCAATGAGCCACCATCACGTCAATTTCATGCTATCTTTTTCATTGGCAAATTCTTAATGACTTATGATAGGCACGAAAGGGGAGGGATAGGAAAGGGGAGAGAGACGAGTTCTTCGTTTGGAATAACTTTCTTATTGCTTTATAAAGCAGTTTTTTAATAAATTTTTTTTTTACTAGAAATTTTTGTACTAAAAAATTGCTTGAAGAAGTTCTTCATTTAGAAATTATGTTTAGTGCGTAATATTAACTTAAATCAATTGATATTATTTGTGATTTTATTTAATAGAATTTTTGTGTTTAACTAGTTTAATAATTTACTCATTAATAATTAACTAGGATATTAATATATGCTAAGCTTAATTTAATCAATCTAATTAGGGTTTATAAAAAATATAAATTATAATTAGTAATATTCAGTCATGTAAATTAAATAAAAATAAATTAATCTTGATGATAAATCTTAATTTATTACAAATATTAAATTAAGAAAAAATGGTATTATTGTGATTATTCTGAATAAATAGAAGTTATTATTTCAAGTAGCTTAATAAATTACTAATTGATAAGATATCACATTCTTAATTATGATATTTTTACTATAAGTTATGAAGTAAAATATGTTTTTAATGAGTATTATCAATCTTTCACTTTATAATTTCTAGTACATTGTAGCATATACCTTATTTTGATGATTTTAACTAGACCTGTCAATATTGAACCCGACTCGAAAACCCGACCCGAATCGAAAATTTCTGGTTTGGGTTGACCCGAACCCGAATCGGGTCGTGTTCGGGTCTGGAAAATTGACCTGTTTGAAAAATCGGGTCGGGTTCGAGTTGACCCAGAAACCCGGGAATGACCCGAGCTGACTCGGAATAACACATAAACTATCTGCCCGAAGGACCCTGCCCGACCGCCCGCGTCAGTTCCACAGAGGTTCCACGTCGCGCACTCGAGCGCGCACTGCATCCCGAGTCGAGCCCTTGCGCTCGCCCCGCGGGCCACTTTCTCACGCGCGCGGCACGCTCTGCTCATTTCTCGCGCCCGCCCCAAGTCCCAGGTCCCCCGCGTGGCCGCATCGAGCCCTACCCCGCGTCCCGACCGCGCCCTCGCCCATGCCTCGCGCCCGCCCCGAGTCGGGCACCAATTCCACATCACGCGGCCAGTTCCGCATCAACCCGTCAATTGCCTGTCTGCAGGTCGGGTTAGGTTGACCCGAACCCGAAGCGGGTCAGTTCGGGTCCATAAAATCGACCCGTTTACAAAAAATGGGTTGGGTCGACCCGAACTCGAATAGTGCCGGGTCAATTTCGAGTTCGACTCGAACCCGACCCGTGATCCAAAATCGACACCCCTAATTTTAACAGTAAGAAGTTGATAGTTCATTGGTTGGTTTTGTCTATACAAATTTTGAGGTACTTACCATTAAAAATGACATTTTGGACATTGGCTACGATTAATCAAAATTACTAGAATGATATTAAAAAAGTCCAATATAAATAATTTTTCAAATGATAAATGTTCGATGTATAGACAAATTATACATGCATCATCCTCTACAGTGTGGTACATGTGTGTTCACTTTCATATATTAATGTCATGTATTTTTGTTAATTTTGTTAACCATTGCATGTGCATTTATCTCCATATGACATAAGTTTTGATACGGGAGATTATTAAAGTGCACTATAAGTTTAGTTATTCTAGCTCAACTTTCTGCTCTGTTTTGCTTCTGATTCCGCCCCATCTAGATTATGTGAATGTGGGAGGTTGTTTTTTGGCCCCATCTAGGGGTGTCAATATTTGACACGACCCGAAAACCCGACTCGAAAATTTTGGGTTAGGTTCAACCCGAACCCGAAACGGGTCGGGTTCAGGTTCAACATTTTGACCTGTTTCAAAAATTGGGTCGAGTTCGTGTTAACCCTTTGACCCGAAATTGACCAGTTTTGACCCGAAAACCTGATTTTGACCCGGCAACCCGAGATTGACCTGTTTTTTACCCGAAAACTAGCATTTTTTTGTTGGAAACGGGTTATTCGAGTTGTGTCGGGTTGACCCGGACCTGAAGCGGGTTGGGTTTGGGTCAAGAAAACTGACCCGTTTTCAAAAACTGGTCGGGTTCGGGTTGACCGAATAGTGTTGGGTCAGTTTCGGGTTCGACCCGAACCCGACCTGTGTCCCGAAATTGACACCCCTAGCCCCATCTACTTTATGTGGGAGTGAGATGTTCAAAGGAGTTATAAGTGGAAGTGTAGTTATAAGAAAATCAGGTTGATCGCCGTCGACCAGTGCGGGTTGGCCTCCTGGTACTTGCATATCATGATATGTTGCATAATATGTTAAATGAATTAAGTTTAAATAAAAAAACCTGCTAATAAACAGACTCTAATATTTATAAAGAGTAAATTTTTTTTTTTGTTCATACAAATTTAATGTTTAAATCTATTATTTATAAATTACAAATATAAGTATTGACATCCGTAATGTAAATTGGAATAGCTTACTGAGCATGTGAAGCTCACTATATTGTTTATGAAATTTCACGAAAAAAGAAGGTCTAATAGAATAGAGCTTGATAAGGGCAGAACCGTCAGAAGATTTGTATTAAGATATTTTATAATCCCATAATTATGTTTTGATGTATGTAATAAACTTGGACTGAATTATTCGTATATGTTTCTTTTGAAAAATGAAATTTAGGTTTCATTTGGGACGATTTTCTTTCTGCTTCTTAAAGCAGCTTCCTAGTACTAAGAAGCTGCTTTAAGAAGCAATAGGAAAGCCGTCCCAAGCGAAGCCTTAGATCTCATTTTGTGTTATTTAAAATTTTTTAGACGATTTAGTTTGCTCTAATTTGTTCTGCTTTGTAGTTGACACAATTAGCTTTAGGATTTAATTCTTCCATTAGATTCTAAGGCAGGACATAAAACTCATAAATTGGCTATTAGCTCCTAATATCTATTACTTATAGATAAACTTCTTTGTCTAACAAAGATTAATTAATCTAATGTTAATGAAATGATTACATTATTGATCAAAACAAAATCCTAAGTTCTCTTAATCTAAATATTCCTATTATTTTACTCTTACTTGTGCTAGCCAATGTCTTCAAAATAAAAATTTTACTAGACCTATGAATAAAGCCACTATCAAACAACTATACAAGATGCATAACATGCTTTTGGCTCTTAAAATGTGGTCTAGTGGCTTTGGTTATTTTTCTCCCATAAAAGATTCCATGTTTGAGCATATTGTAAATGAGTCGAGCTCAACTCAAGTAACTCTCGACTTGAGTTTGAGCTCTAGCTCGAGCTTTATTCTTGAGCTTTATTTTGTGCTAAAAAATTGTTTTAAGAAGTAGTAAGAAAGCTGTCACAAATGAAGCCTTAGTTTGTGATAACTTTCTTACTATTTTTTAAAGCAGATTTCTAATATAAAATTTTTTTCAACTAAAAAATTTTATACTAAAAAATTACTTTAAAATATAATAAGTAATCTGCTTAATAAAATGACTCATTTATTATGAAAAAAACGGATTATTCTTATTCAGATAATTATTATAATAACATGCTTAAAAAATTTTAAACGAGAAATAATAAAAAAATCATTTAAAAAAACAATAACAACTTTATTTTAAAATTGTTGATATTTTAAATGTATTTTATTTTAATATTTAAAAATTAGTTAGGTCATGAGTTGATGAGTTAGCTCCACTATACTCCACTATAATTCATTTATTGTGTCATTGCACCCTCGGTTCAGGTTATATTCAATTCAGGCAGGTATTACTAAACGTGCTGCGTGAGCTATCGGGTTAGGCTGAAGCCAGCCACTGACACGTCCAATCAATGGACCCATTTACAAAACAGGTCCCAATTAGAGTAAAAACCGGTCAAATCGACTTCAACTCGAATTAGTGTCTACTAGGATCCGATGCATCGCCTCGCGGCCACTCTCGCCGTCGTTTCTCCTTCTTTCTTTCTCCTCTCTAACACCATCAATGGCGGCAGCTTTCAGGTGGGTTCTTCAGCTTCACAGGGACGTGCCTAAAGCTGCACGTTTCTACTCGGAGGGCTTGGGTTTTTCCATCGACGTTTGCACTCTCCGGTGGGCTGAGCTCCAGTCTGGTCCCCTCAAACTCGCTCTCATGAATTCCGACAGGTTCACTCTTTTTCCCCGTTGAGTGGATTGAAATAATTTCTTACAATTGAAGGCAGAAATGCCCTTACATTTTTTTCTACTTTGCCTGATTTTACCCTCTGTTTGCCTCCGCACGAAATTGGCGTTTTCTTCTAACAAACTTGTGTTTTTTCTTGATATATTCTCGAAATTGATTTGTTTGAAGCTAGATTGGTGGTGATTTCTCTCGTGTTGCTTAATTTCATAGATATGTATGCTTTTATTTTGTGGGTTGTTTGCCTGTAATGTATTGTTGTTCTTGTTGGGATTAGCAATTAGGTTACCGAAGAGATGGTGCCAGGGAAATGAATTGTGAAGGAATTCAGGTGGATGCGTGGCTTTACCCTTAGAGATAGGATACGAAATGAGCATATACGTGAAAAATTGGAGTAGCACCAATGGAAGATAAGATTAAAGAGAGTCGCCTTAGATGGTTTGGTAACATAAAAAGGCGGCTATCCGATGACCCGGTTAGGAAAGTAGAGGTTATTATATTTGACTTATGTTAAGAAATATAAAGATAGACCTAAAAAGACTTGGTTAGAAAATATTAGAAATGAGATTTCTTTATTATATTTAAACGAGAATTTGACTTTTAACAAGACACAATGGAGAAAAAAGATTCATGTAGCTGACCCGACCTAGTGGGACAAAGGCTTGATGTTGTTGTTTTTGTTGTTCAGAAATCGGCAGGAAGAAAATATTGATGCAAGAGTGGCAAGACGAGAAAGTTTAGTTAGAGGACCTACTGATTGGTGTTTGAACTAATGTTATTGTAAATATTATAATTACAATGGAAGAAGATAGTTTGCTTGTATAATTTGTGAGGCTATAGGGATGGAAGCGTGTTCAAGAATGTTCCAAGGGCTGATAGATTGAACAAGAGATGGTAGAAGGAAGACTGTTAAAACTTTCTAACTTTAGATAATTAAAGAAGTTTGGTAATATTCCATTTGCAATGAACCTAATAATAACGCTGTCAATTTATATATCTTACATCTAATAAACAAGGGCAATAACCTCACCTTCAATCTAATGGTTTTCAATTTCATGTCGATCCTTTTACCTTTGTGCATTTAATTGTCTTCTGTAGCCATGACACTAAATTATGATCAACTAGTAGCCATATACCTATACTTTCTTGTACTTTTAAGAGAGTGGTAGCCATCCTTTATAGTAAGATGAGTGAAATTTGAATATTTTACCGTTTTGCCAAGATTCAACTTTTGGTTGCAATATTTTAGCTCTTTTACCGTTGAACATAATAGAATCCTTTATGCTTGGCATAGTGAGACTATTGAACTCAAGAAGATGTTATATCCTTAGCACTACACATTTACTTCTTATTTGATTAGAATTGGGAATAGTATTTTGGAGTATGAAATTTCATATTAGAACAATCCGATGAAATATGTGGATCACTGGATCCTAGTGTGGCAACAAAGCAGTTCATAAAAACAACTTGAACATGGTGACAGTGGTAGTGTTCTCATGTATTTTTTGTTAGTACTCCAAAGAATATAGTGTGAAGCTATTTCATAATTGATAGTTTGTTAGAAGTTCTAGAATACAGATATAAATGATGTGAGCTAATACAACATAGAGCATGAGATGCATTGTTGCAGGGGATCGAGTTAATGTGAAAGGAATGGGAAGAAGATGCCGTAGGCTAAATGATGAAATTACCCAAAATTTTTTGTTTTTTCCTATAAACTAGCATTAACCTTAGATGCAGCCCATTATGCAATTAAATTTTAGAAGGGCTTTATATGGTCAGCTCTAAATGGCTAGGATGATGATGATGATGAAGCTTAGCTATAAAGATACATCATTGGTACAATTTTAGAACACACAAAATGCAATCTCATTATAAGACATTGTTAAAAGGAGGCCCTAATTATAATATGTGCTCTAGAGGTTTGTGCAAAGATGTTTTTTAAACTTATGGCTCAACATAATAACAAAAGCACTATCTATTATTGCATTATGAGTGGGGTTTAGGGTTTTTCATGCAATGTAGGATGGTATGCAAGATGAAAGCAAAAGAAAATCACAGTTCAAGTATTACTAATTTATTATTTTAAAAATAACTTGGGGCTTTTAATATAAGAAGAGTGAACATGCTTTTTTTTTATTAAAAGATAAATTACAATCAGTAAAATTTGAATTTTTTTAAGAAAAATAGTGATTAATTTGTATCACTCAATAAAACACTTTTAATTTCTTATTTCTTAATATTCACTCAGCCATCAAGTATTCACTCAGCCATCAAGTCTTCTTATTAGTCTATAATATATTTCTTAGCATAAGTCGGTTTTGGAAGGTGGTGCACTCTAGTGATATGGAATATGATGAATGGACTTAACTTTATCTTTCTAGTAAAACCCCATGATTGAAGGCCATGTGAATTGAGTTTTGTATTCCAATAGCAATTCACATATACACATAAATAAGCACAAATGCAATTATATGATATATGAAAGGAACCTTTATTTAAATAAAAGAAATAATAACAATATTTTTCCAAGGAAATTAAAAGACTTGACTAATGAAAAAAATTTATCAATTACATATGCAAAACAAACCTGAACCTAATATAAATGTCTAAACAAAGAACTACTATCATAAAAATAAGTACTGAACCCGAAGAATATCTATTATTGATGAATCTGCTTATATGACATTCTCCACCAATCAAAAGAAAGTGATTAACTGCATTTACAGTACAAACCAAAACCTAGCATAAATGTCTAAATAAAGAATTACTATTGTAAAAACTAAAAACAAGTATTGAATCCAAATAATATCTATTGTTGATGAATATGCTGCTATGACGATGGTCCACCAATCAATTTGGTAGGATTTATTAGGAGAAAAATAACAAGTGTGTTTGTCAGATAAACTCAACAGGTGACTTCTATTAATTATAAACAATAAGAAATAGAGTTTAAAGTACTCTTTACCTAACATCAAGATAACAACAATGCGTATCTTCTTCTCTATGTCGATGACATACTCTTTACTAAAAATAATCCACATACGCTACTCGACATCATATCTTCTCTCAGTCAACATTTTTCCATCAGAAATCTTGGCCAGCCATCCTGCTTCCTCGGCATTGAGATAGCTCCACTACCAATAATCTATTTCTTTCCCAAGCTGCTTATACTCGTTCCATTCTATAACAGGCAGGTCTAACAAAGTGCAAACCACTTGCTAATCCATCATATACAAAACTACCTACCAATCTATCAGCTGAATCACACTTCTCTTATCCCTTCTCCTACCGTCAACTCACAGGTTCTCTCCATTATCTAATTATCACCCGACCAGATATTTCGTTCGTAGTCATTATCTTGAGCCAACATCTCCACAATCCACAAACCCACCACTTTCTCCAACTCAAACGTCTTCTACGCTATCTACATGGTACCAGTCAATACGACATTCCCATTCTCAAATCCTCTCTTCATCTCCAAACATTTTCTGACGCTGACTGGGCCACGGATCCTTCTACTCGGCATTCTATATCCGGCTATTGCTCATTTCTAGGTGATACTTTAATTTCCTGGACAATCAAGAAACAAACAACAGTTGTAAGATCCTCCACATAGGCTGAGTATAGGGCCTTAGCATCTGCCACTTCTGACGTTATATGGCTTCATCGACTTCTATCAGATTTTCATCTTGCTCAACTTGATCCAACAGACATTCACTGCGATAGCATGTCTGCTATTGCGCTTGTCAATAATCCTGTGTTTCATGCAAGAACGAAACATATAGAAGTTGATGTTTACTTCATCAGAGATCATCTTCAAGCTAAGGATATCAGAGTTCTTCCCATTTCCACGACTGATAAGGTTATCGATATCCTAACAAAGCCATTTTCTACACCTCAGTTCCAACTTTTGAGATCCAAACTACTGGTTCATTCTTCACCATTAGTTTGCGAGGGACTAACAACACACCACAATCAGAAGGCATTACCGGCAGCACATGGCAGCACACTCCATTAACGACACAAGCAAGCATTACTGTTGGATAATAACAACTTTGTTTAATCATAGCCATCCTACACTTACACTAGTATAAGTAGACCTCATTATGAAAAGCTATTACATCAGAATGGAAAGTCCTATGCTATTATGTGTATTTCCTTACAGTTGCTTTCTCTGCTCTCCTTTCTGAAATTGTCTTTACGTGGTGACAAATGTAGGACCTGAACAATATCTACCTAGCTTTGTGGTGGAACTACCAAACACTTGATTGAAATTTCACCCATGGACAAAATTTCCAATATTCTGCTACACATATTTATAACAATGACACCAATTCAGGTAGTTTATAGATTAATGCCCTCTACAGTCATTCCTTAGCGCCTCGAGATTGAAACTACTGCTGTGTCGTCTAGGAGCACGCCCCTTTGAGTTCAAGCATGAGTAGCATCATTAGTTTATGAACTATAGCTTCTGAAACAACAAAGATTTACTCTATTTTTCATTTGCCTCATTTGAAACCGTTACGTGAAGACTCTTCTTTACACCCAGATCCATTACTAGCACAATTCACTGATGGCCAATCTATGGTTAAACCAGGGACAGTTCTTAAATTGTGAATAATTATGGAAGGGGAGAAGACAGCAATATGAGTTTTAGTTCAATGGGAGAAGACAGCAAATAAAAAAAAGTGTATTTGTGTTTTGGCGGCTCTACTTTCTATTATTAATGAAACGGTATTCTGATTTAAGAAAGTATGTGTTCATTGTTGTAAGATTATGGATCACTGTAATATAAAGTTTTCATGTACAATCTTCTTTATCAAATTATGTATTTTTATTTATCTCTAATGAAATGAAACCAACAATAACAGCATCATGCATTTATCCCACTACATTGGGCCGGCCACATGAATCCTCTTTCTCCATTGTGTCCTATTAAAAGTAAAATTCTCAAAAAAATTTGATAAAAAAGTCATTTCTAATATTTTCTAATTAAGTTTTTTTAGGTCTACCTCTATCTTTTTTAACATAGGCCAATTCAATACATCTATTCTCCTAACTGGGTCATCGGAAGGCCAATGTTTTATGTGTCCAAATCATCTAAGGCAACTCTCTCTAATCTCATTTGCCACTGGAGCTACTCCAACCTTTTCAAATATATACTCGTTTCGCATTTTGTTTTTGAGTGAAGCCACTCATCCACATCCTCATCTCTATAACACTTAATTTTATGTTTCTCTTTTAATAGCCAACATTCTGTGCCATAAAGCACTGTAGGTCTCACCACCATCTTATAAAACTTCTCTTAAATTTGAGGGGTACTTTTTTTATCATACAACATGCCCGATGCATTCCTCTACTTGAACCATCTAACTTGAATTCTACTAATAATTTTCCTATCTATTTCATCATCACTTTGAAAGATAGACCCAAGATATCTTAAATGTGTACTTATTAATGACTTGATCGCACAAAGTCACAATTCCCCCATTAGATCTATTACTATTAAAATTACACTTTCAGTTTTAGATCTACTCAAACAAAAAACTTTAGGCTCTAAGATTAACCTCCATAATTCAAGTTTTCTTTCAAACCCCTCTCTAGTCTTATAAACAAGAAAAATATCATTAGCAAAAAGCATACACCAAGGAACATCCTCTTGTAAATGTCTAGTAAGAACATCCATGACTAAAGCAAAAAGATATTTGCTTAAAGCTGATCCTTGATGTAATCCAACTAAAATAGGGAAATACTTAGTCAAATCAACTTGTGTTTGAACACAAGTAATAGCTCATACATACATATCTTTAATGACTTATATAAGCATTATTAACTCTAGAGCACTTCTCTTGAAACTCTATTATATTCTTTTTCTAAATCAATAAATATCATATATAGATCCTCTTTATTCTCTCTATACTTGTCTATCAAACTGTTAGACCGGTCTAGGTCTATACCAGGCGGACCAAGAAGCCACCGGCCCCCTTTGTGGGGCCTATGAATTAAAAGCAATTTTCAAATAGGAGGGGGAGGAATTAGGAGGAAAATTAATTTAAGGAAGGTTGTTTAGTAATTATGCATTTATTTTGTATTCTCTAAATAGGGGGAAGAGTTAGGGTTAGGGTTATGTTGATATTTTGCTGAATTTAGGAGTCTTTGGAATTTTTTTGAGCTCTAGTCGTTGGCTAGAGATTGGGAGAGCCAGATCTTCCTCTCGAATTAAAGATCCATTGTATCTTGCTTGTTTTCCTCCATTTTTCTTCTATAATTAGGTTTCCTACTAATTTTCCAAGGATTTTTCTTCAATTATTGTATTGTTCTTGCTAAAATTCCTAATCGCGGCCATTATTATGGTAATTTCTGCACTTGTTTTCTATTACAAACCTTTTAATAAATGTATAGCTTCCATAAAATACCTGCCTGACACAATTCCAAATTTATTTTGAGAAACATTAGTATCACGTCAGAACCTGTGCTCAATAACTCTCTTCTATGATTTTGAAGTATGTTATATTAACTTGATTCCTCTATAATTTGCACTCTTGTGCATCATATTTATTCTTAAAAATCTCAAAACACTCTTTCACTCATCTGACATCTTTTTAGTCTTCAAAATAATATTAAAAAGTTTGGTAAGCTAAGAAATTTCTTCATCTTCTAAGTATTTTCACACCTCTATTGGAATATCATCAGGTCCGGCCGTTTTTTCATACATCATTTTCTTTAAGGCATCTCTAACCTCGGTTTTATTAATATGATGATAAAAATTAAAAAAAAAAATCTTTTCATTTAGGATTCTAAGGCCACTAAAGTCGATCGTATTCTCACAATTTTTATTGAAAGGGTTATTGAAATATCTCATCCACCTTTATTGAATATCCTCTTCTAATAAAAATATTTTTTGATCTTCATCTTTAATTCATTTCACTTGAATTAGATCTGTAGTTTTCCTATCTCTTTATTTGACAAGCTTATACAAACATCTTTTACCCTCATTAGTATCAAATATATCATATAAATCATTAAAAACTAAAATCTTTGCATCACATATTATTTTTTTTAGATTTTTTATGGACCTCTTTATATTTTGCTCAACTTTTCAAGCTTTCACATCCAAATTAATTTTTATAACAAAACTTCTTATTTTTTTATCTTTTCTTGCACATTTTGATTCATTCACAAACTAGTTTTACTATTATGTACTTTTCTTTTAATACTCTAAGCATATTCTTTACAACATTCTTAATATTTATAGCTACTTTTTTTAAATAACATCAGCTTCTTCATGCACAATTAAAAACTTAAGATCTTGAATCTTATTTTCAAAATTATTTTTATTAATGTTATTTAAATTCCCTAATCTAATTGTATTACAACATTTTATTTTATTTTTCATATTCCGGTCCATTATCTTGAAGTTCAAAACTAGTAAGTGATGTTGGGTACATAAACTTTCACTTGGAATAATTTTATAATCTTTTCAATCTAAACGATCTATTTGTCTTATAAGAAAATAATCAATCTATGTCTTTTACATCTTTTTTATAAATGATGAGGTGCTCCTCTTTTTTTAAATAAGATATCAGTAATCACAAAATCACAAGCTAGAGGAAAATCTAATATAATCCTACCAACTTCATTAGTTGCTCCAAATTTATAGCCATCATGAATATTTTTTAAAATTTTACCATTGTACCAATATGTTTATTTAAATATCCTCCAATAATGAAATGAAACCAATATGTTTTCTTCGGACCATATGCTCTATTAAGTATGCAACACTTCTTTTTAATGTTTTTCATTTATTGTTTTCATTATCAGATGTTTTAACTTGTTCAGAGTTTTCTTTTGTGTACAGCAACATTGCCATACAGAACGGTTATTCCTCCATGCTATCTTTTACTGTGACTGATATACAAAGCACTGTAACAAAATTAGTTACATTAGGAGCGGAGCTAGATGGTCCAATTAAATATGAGATCCATGGAAAGGTAATACTCAAAAATAAACTTTATAGGGGAGAAACATTTTCCTGCGATATTCCATATCTGAAGCACTTGGTAATTGTACAGGTCGCAGCTATGCGTTGCATTGATGGGCACATGTTGGGACTTTATGAACCGGCATGATTGGTTTAGTGGAAGCCATGAATCCAATGAATCCAAGAATTTCAGCCCACAGAGGGAGACTTGAATCTGGACCTTCTCTGAACTTTTATGAGATCGGGAGCACATAACAAGTTTCTCCTCTCTTTGGATTTCCTTCAAATATTGAGAGAGTTTGTTCATCTAAATCAATCAGTACAGTGCATAGAGTGTAGAGTGTGGGACCTGTCAATTTCAGGGATGTTTCTTTCGTATTGATGTATCCTAGATCAATCAGAAAATAGATTATGGCTTCGTTTGGGATGGCTTTTTTCCTGCTTCTTAAAATAACTTTCTAATACAAAAATTACAAATTTTTAACTAAAAAGCTGCTTTAAGAAGCAGTAAAAAAGCCGTCCCAAATGAATTTGCATGGAAGAACTGTTCTGGACCAGCTTCCTGAAAGGCATAGCGGTTTCGAGATGCTGTTTCGATGTTTACTATCCTTCGACTTCTGACATCCGCCAAATTATAATTGTGCCCAACAGAGACTTTGGCTGACAAAATTCTCTGGAAATAGAAGAGGATCCTTCATCAGTACAATTTTGAGTGCAACATTAAGGCCCTTAATGAGAATCAATGTAATATAACCCACATTGATTGCATCCTCAAGGTCAGTTGATTCTAACAGATCTCTTGATACAAAGTTTCTACCTATGCCTCCAGCCAAGATTTCATCAGATAATGGAGGTACTGCATTTAGTGTAAATGCCTGCAAAATCACAATTTTTTATTCATTTTCTTATGCCATTTAACAGTCTTTTGAGCAAAGTAGATAGATGGAATATCTAAGGCCTTCTCCAAACGAACTCCACACGCATTAATGGCTTCGCTCGTGAGCTTGAGCCGAACGACAAAACTTTCGGTATTTGGTTGCGGGTGAACAGTGCCACGTCAATATTGACGTTGCACCGTTCACCTACGTTTTTTTTCTGTCTCTACCAGATTTGCCAAAGAAACGTGCGAAGGAGAAAGACGGTTACCCGGGCGTAAAATGGAGTTCGATTGGAGATGAATTAGACCATTTTTTTTACATTGCATTTTGGAGTGAAAAATGAGATTTTCGGTTCGAGATGCCCTAACTATTCCATTGCTGTTGAAGCCAAAGGCACAGCTTGGGAGCTCTCCAGCATAAGTGAAAGCGGTAAATGACAAGCCATTTGGCAACGTAACCTTCAACAAGTAGCTGCACATCCGGTAAAAACATAGACATATAAGCACACATTTGTTCTCTTTGTGACTATATAACAAACTGTAGCATTTCAGTTACCTATGACCAATTAGAGCTACGTTTCCATCTTCATTATGTGCAGCAATAGCCATGGAGTTATTGACAATAAGAACATCGGAGCAATCATTACTAGCTTCTTCTTCTTCTTCCTTGGTAGCTGCTCTCCCTGATTTCGGAACAAACGGTAAAATTTCCTTCCTGAAGTTTAGCAGCACCAGCTGCTCAGAATCACAAGTTTTTCATCATATTGCTCCATTTTTTAAACTCTTTTTTATAGTATAAAATTTTAATTTTTGAATTAGAAACCCGCTTTAAGAAGCAGTAGGAAAGCCGTCAATGAAGATTAAGCTAAAAACTTACGTCTAGAACTGAGACACCGCTCCCTTCTGCAGCACCGACGAGTTCATCCCAGTACCTTGGAAAGCTTTGCTTGTTATTCTTGCAGAGTTTATCAAGAAGTGATTTTCCCTGAAAAGTTTGGGCAAACGGCAGTAGCTGCTCCTGGAGTATGAGATCAGAGGCAATCCTGTTCTTAATCAGGTAGGAAAACCTCTTTCCAATGAGGAACCCGATCTCCATGGCTGTTTCACATACCTCAACTTCAAAGAACTCCAGCTTCTTTCCAGGCTTAGCCATCTCTGACGCCATGAGAGCTCCTTATCTTCTCAGATCTGTAAGTTCTTCAATCCTAAATTCGTATTTCTTCTTATCGTCAAGCTAAGGCATGGGAGAACTTTTGTACTTATTAACGTTGTCACTTTGGTCCATTCCACTTAATAGGATTAAAAAACAAAGGAACAATTCCACTGAGTAATATTTGTTTTTTTATTTAGGCTTTCAATTAAATAAATAATTAAAATTTTTATAAGTAGCTCAAGAAAAAAGTGATGGTATGTAGAGTCCTGTATTGGATGTCCATACCTACATCCACCCACATACCCACATATATCCAATGGGCATGGATGCATATGGATACACCCATGTCCTCGTGGGTGGGTATGGGTGAATACTCAACATCGGTGGATAAACCGATTTACATTGCCAATCACCTTATGTAGTAAATTATCATAATCCTTACTACGTAGTGTGCATCTCACACTACGACCATGATAATTCTGATATGCAGCTTGAAAATTTGCTGTCATAATAAAGGGCAATAAGCCTCAAGGACATTAGTCCGTGACGGACTACATTTAAAAAGTGTGGAAAGTGAGTGGGTATGAGTGGGTACGACATCCTGAAAGTCACCATGGGTGGGCGAAACCTACCCGTGCAGAGCGTGGGTACCCAACCAGAACCCTATATAGGACTTTGATGGTATGCCTAGCTTATTTTTATATTATTTTGCAAAATAATATAACTAATAAGGTTTCGTTTGTGATTGTTTTCTTGCTGCTTCGTAAATTAAATTTTTAGTATAAAATTTAAATTTTTTAACTAAAAAAAAGCTGTATTAAATTTTTTTTTTAAGAGCAATAAAAAATCCGTCTCAAACGAAGCCTAAATCCTTCTTGATTAAGTATTTCTTCACATTTTCTTCTCACATGAGTGCCTTATTTACTCCCTAAGGGTGGAAAACTTATTCTGTGAGGGCTGGTACGTCGTTCGGGGACTAACTAGATGACATGACACGTTCTAGTTGGTCTCCGGACAGTTCAACGTCCACACATAATAATTTCTTGTAAGGGTGGTGAGAAATCAGCTCAAAATCACCCCCTAACTACAGTTAAAAATAGCCGTTATAAGCATTTCATAATCGTTGGTCATTCTCTGATTAGCATGTTATGGGCTGAGTGCCATTTAAGTAAATAAGGGGAAGTTCTTAGTATTTATTATAAATTAATGAATTTATATGATAAATACGTTATACTATATACGAAAATTTCTCTACAAAATTTAATGAATCTAATGTTATGAAAATTAAATTCTAATTGTTTTGCCAAAAAATAATAGTTATAATAAATTAATTAATATAATTAATAGCATGTAAAATATATATTTAGCTGATTTAAAGATTTAATTAGAAGATTTATGATCACTTAATTTGTTAAACTATGAGTGGTCAAATTCATAATAATAAGCAATTTAAGTATATGATTGCTAATTATATAATTTTTACTCCAATTTTAGCAATTATTTAGTTGGCAATAAATCAAATAATAAGAAATCAAGTCAAATAAATTGATAAAATATACAAAATAGAAAATAATTTTTTTTACATATAAAATATATTTGAGAGAGTTTCTATTAGGGCTCTTCTCCCAAAAAGAAAGAGAGATAAAGTATAATGATCTTGGGCTTGACCTGACTACCCTCTGATTCAATTTAGGTCGAAAATTATTACATGTGGTCATCGAACGTCATTTGGAGGCCAATTATAATGCGTTATGTCACCAATATAATGTGTACCGTTATGTATCGGATGACATAACGTGTCTTGATTGACCTTCAGACAGTTCGATGACCACACCTAATAATCTCCCCAATTTAGGACCTCATCATCTTCATCACAATACAAGAAAACCTTATTTGTCATTGCCTTCAATGGGCAGCCTCGACCACTACTGAAAACCACAAGAGCAACAAATTAAATGAACCTATCCCCTCTCTTCTCCATCCTTTGATCTCAATTGCAAAGCATGGATGACCTTCTTCCTACATATTATGTTCTCTTCATCAAACCTTCTGCGTTGGCAATGGTGCTTTTCTTCTTTTCCACTTCATATTGTTATCTCACTGAAATATACTTTTCTTTATTCATGGACAAATTTCACAATCAAGCTTTCTCTTTATCTCCATTTCTTGGTTGCTTGGAAAGTTGCTCCCTTTTTACTATTATGCTTAACACTATTTTGAAAACCGGACCGGATCGGCCTGTTCAACCGTGAACCGGTCATGTGGCCGGTCCGATCAAGCTTCAGAACCAATTCTGCATCGAACCGGATCAAACCGGATTGAACCGGCGGTTCAACCGGTGAACCGCTGAACCGGTCCAGGTTAGAAAGAACCGGCCGGTTTATAAAAATATTTTAATTTTGTTTTAATTAAAATTTTAAAAATATATTTTAGTTTATTAAAATTTCTTAAACTTTTTAAAATATTTTTATTAAATATGATGATTAATTTCACAATAATACATGCAAGTTATCTTAAATACATCACATAATTTATTTTGCAAAAAGAGTATACTTCTCACTTTATAAAGGGTTCAAAGAAACATCCTCAAACTTCCCCTATGATGTGGGACTAATATTTATTACGTCATCCGGTTCGACCTCGATTCAACTGGTCGACCGGTCGAACCGTGAACCTCTCCCTCTTCCGGTTCGTTGTCCGGTCCGGTTTTCACAACCTTGGTGCTTAATATGTTAATTTCTTGGAAATGTCAATCTAGGATTTGGTTATCCTAATAATGAATTTAATACATTTACTTTGTTTATATCAAACTTAATTAGGCTAAGGCTTCGTTTGATGCACATTTTAATTAGAGAGAGAGAGAGAGAGAAAGAGAGAGAGAGAGAGAGAGTATAAACTAATTAATAAAACATAAAATGCAGTTAAGGTAAGTTTGACAACATTCTAAGGCAACTAACATAACTAGAAAAAGTTTGATGAAGAGTTGCTTTCATATGGGCACTAAACCGAAGCACAATCGTTAATACCCTTATATTAGTTAAGATGCACATTTTATATGGATTCCTAGAATGATTTATTATATAGCACATTATGAGGATAAAGATAATCAAGCTAATTAAAGACTCAAATACAATAGCTAAAATTAAAGTTTAAGAAATAAATCAATTTAAAGAGATTGTCTAATTACAAGAGCAAAATCAAAGAGATGGTCTAATTACAAGAGCATAATCAAGAGCTCGATAAATAACCCATCATTTAGAATATTTCAAAGATAATTTATATTTTACTTTCCACCTAAAAACTTGCATGGCTAGCCATAATATGTTTTGGTATTAATTAAGCTTTAAAAATATATAGTTGAAAGTCATTCTCATTAATGGGGCGAATTATTACGTTCGGTCACCGGACGTCCAGCCATCCTATCCATACGTGCCACGTCACCCGAATACACTGGATCCCAGTGTAATTTGGTGACGTGGCATGTCTGGATTGATGTCCGGACGAATTCGGACACCAGACGTAATAATTTTCCCATTAATGGACCTTTATTTTTTTCCTCAGAAAATGATTTCCTAAGAGCCAAGTTATATCTATATTTATAGGATGAAATGCTTCAGAATTTTTTTATATTTGAGGTTGTGTACGGAAAATAAAAAATGTTAATTTTTATAATTTAAATAAAAAAATTTTAAATACAATAATTTATATTAAAAATATTATAAAATATTTAAGACGCACATGTATAATTTGTATTTAATATTTTTTTTAATTGAACACATATTCGGCCTGTTCGACATGTGTCAGAAACTTAGACACGTATTGTGTTGTAAACGTATTGGATAATACACGTCATTTTGAGGAGAAATATCTGTACATCATAAGTTCATAGTAGAACAATCACTTGGACTTGGGATATCTCTAAGAATATTTGAAAGCATGTGAAGGGCATATACTATCAAGCAAGCTATCCATAACCATCATCACTTGTATAAAGATCAATGATGGAGGCTCTTATGAGATTTATTTCATCTTATTTCTTCTCATCTCTCCCACAATAATTTGAAAAATAAAATTCTAAAGAAAGATAATAAAATTCATAGGGACAAAGCCTTATAATCTGATATTTTTATTAATGACATTATGATGTCTTTATATAACAACTGATAATGATGAAATTTTGCCTTGCTCTGTCATAAAAAAATAGGAAAAAAAGAAGAAACTACCTCCAACAAAAATTATCCTCACAAATATTAAGCTTTGGGTGGTAGAATAGGAGATAAGAGATGAAGAGAGCAACAAAGCAAGCAATTATGTTAGAACTACATGACAAAAAGGGTTAATTTGATAATGATGATTTTTTATTTTTGATTCTCAAACATCCCCCTCAATGGGCTGTTTAATATTTGTTCATGTCTGCATAATTGAAAAGGCTTACTATTAGTACTTGGTCTGATTAGTAATTAATTTTGTTTTTTGGTTTCAATTTTAGTGAACTGGTCTAGTCTATTTTAAAGGAATGGGCCTAAATATAGAAGGCATTCCTCTTTTTGTTGGGGTGCGACAAGAATAAGATTATGTTTTGCTATTACTTCAAAAAATTATGAGCGCTCTCCCTCTCCTTTCTCTCTCTCTCTCTCTCCTGTGGTGCAACCATCCGGAGAGGCTCTTTCTTCTGCCAAGAATTCACAATAATTGGTATCTGAATTTGGTGGAGATAATCAATAAGACGGATGGTGTTTCTTGTAATCAAGAAAAAAAGATGGGTTCATGCGTTTGGAAGCCGACAAGAAAAGGAAGAGTCGAACGCGAATGAGATTTGGCTTGGGTCAATAGGCTTGCACACGAAGTGGTGGTGCACATAAAAGTATCAGCCCAAGCAGGAAATGAGTGCGAGCTTGGTGAATGCGTGGGCATGGGCATGTGGTCACATCAACGAGAGCGATGGGCGGGTCGCTTACTTGTGCGTGAAGATAGGCTCGCTAGTGGGCATGTGCGGCAAATGGGGGCGCACGGTATAGGCGTGTGGTCGTGGTCATGAGACGGTGCAAGGTTTGGCTTGATAATGAGACACTATACATGATTGACCATGTTCATACGAAGCAGAGCTGGAAGGAGGGCCCACGCGGGAAGACTCGATCAGTTGAAACTTTTCTTGGTTGTTCTTTGTAGAC